AGATGCTGCTGGGCATCAAGACGCGCCTGGAGCAGGAGATCGCTCAGTACCGGGCCCTGCTGCAGGAGGGACAGCAGGACATCACGTACGTATGCTCTTTGTAAATAAGGGCTTAATTCCATCACCGTCTTGCCTCTATGTTTACTTGCAGAAGACAGATTACAATGTTCTATAGTCTATAAGTCTATATAAGTCTATATAAGTCTATAGCTTAAATCTGAACACATTTTTCACAGTAACGGCATTGAAATGCATATTTTATATTTTCAGTAAGCAGAAGAAACATAGAGGAAAAAGTAAAGCATTCAGTCTATATTCTTTTATAGTTTGTCCCAATCTTCTTGGTCCGCTTACACAGAATAAATCTCATGAGAGGAAGCACCAAGAAGAAGCTCAGTGTAATGAACTTCCCTCTTTCATTTGATGATCAATCCCAGCGGGAATAGGAGAGCAGTACTTACTTTTATTGTCCTTGGTTATTTCTGTACCAGCAGCTTTCTAAGAAAATAGAGTTGGAAGGGAAAGAAATCACAAAATGAAAAGAACTGTCTCCAAATTTTAGAGCTGTTTACGCAGGGCACAGTACATCACAGCATGTCTGTTAAGGTCATCCTGTTCCAGTCATTAAAACCGCTTCCCTCCTGCAGGATGTCTCAAGGGTCTGTTCAAGGAGGCGGAGGAGCCTCTCATTCCTACTCTTCTTCTTCCTACTCCCATAGCCAGTATGGGGAGAAGACAGGTAAGAATCCCTAATTCCCTAATGGCTTTCCCATTTTATGCTTCATTTCTGTTTGCTTGTTAATGCTCTTCCCCGTGTTACGTTCTCATTGCAGTAGGCATGAAACCATGAAGTATCAAACCACTTCAGGGTGTCTTAGCTTCACGTACAGACACAGACCAAGCTTCTGCCCCAGCTCCTTGTTCATACGGATGGCATTTACATGACTGGTCACCACCTCGGAACCAGCTGGGCTGCAGGAGGCCCTTGATCTCCCCATCACTTGGATTAATGCTTTCCTCTTCCTTCCCCAGGGCAGCCAAGGGTGTGTTAGGCTGCAAGAAATGATGCCTTCTGTGCCCACGCAGACGTCCACCATGAGCCTCCACGACACGGGCTGCTCTGCCAAAGTACCCCATGAGGCTAAGATGACTCCTCTGCAAATCTACAACTTCTTCCTTTTTGTATTGCTCTCCATACACAGTCACTGTAATTTCTGTTCATTAATATGCACCAAAGTTAGTGATCGTCTTTCTGTCGATAACAATATCTCTAATAAAACTTTTCTGCAATGCAAAGCAAAATATCTGTCCACAAGCCATCTGGTCTCTTATTAATTTTATGAATATTCAGATTTAGGTGGAACCAGTGAGAGACATTCACCTGGAAATTAAAGCTGTGCAGAAAGCTGTCCTAACTAAATCCGATGGTGTCTGCAAGAACCATCTGGAGCAGAAGAACTATATTCACCCTGAACACGAGAGTGACAGTTACGGGGAAGGAAAGGGACGAGGGAAGCCCTTTTTCACGTGTAGACAGCAAGCGGTGTCAAGCAGCTGCGTCTCCAGGCGAGCAGCTGACCTGAAAGAACCATTTAGAGTGCTTAAAACCAGAATTTCACAAAACGTTTGGTAAATTGAAAACATTTACCTCAGGGTGAGCAAAGAGTCCATCAGGTGCAGACGGGCTCTGCCACTCTCCGCTGATGTCTGTTCTTGTCCGCTAAGTCACAGCGAGAGGTTCTACAGGCACCAAGCTGCCTGTGGATCACAACACATTCCCACCCCGTGGAACAGGGAGGGAAGCAAACAGGACTTGTGAAGTCAAGGCCAAGCGGCCTCTCCCACCAGTCCTACTGGCAGCCATGAACTCCTCCCGGCTCCGGCCCTGCCTTGTGCTACATGTCCCCCTCATCAGCCACTCTTCAAAAACAGGCCTGAAGCCCACCATGCCCTGGGACCTGTAGGGTGCTTGGGATAAGACACCCATTTGACCACAGTCTGAGGAGAACGACAGGCTGCTCGTGGGCCTAGGAGGCTCTGCCGCCATCTCCGGTGGGAAGGAGGTGACAGCCCAGCCGGGCGGGCGTCCCAGGCCCCGATCTGCGGCTGCAGCCACAGCCCTGCAGCGCAGGCGCCCCTGCGCGTCCCCTGCCTTTGCTGGGGCTCTGACTCGCCCGCCGCCCTATTAAAGCCCATCAAAGCAACGCTCTGAGCTGACACCAGGCACGAACATCTCTCATTCCCAGGTAGGTGATGAGGACGGCGCTGTGGCCGGTTCGCACAGCAACCTCTGCCGGCAGGCGCAGAGAAGGCAGCGGGTTCGGAACGAAAACACCCTAACGTGGTCTCTAACCCTGCAGGGCCCTGGCCAAGGGCACAGTCCCCTTGCCTGGCACCACAATCTCAAGGAATTCTTTGAAATGTCCCAATTCAATGTGCCTCCGTCCAAGAGAGAGACAAAACAGCGCGAGAAAGCTGCTTTTGGGCACAGCCAGTATTTACAGGCCTAGCACAGTGGTAGCAGCAGTGAAGTTCAGGCAGTACAAAAATCCTTAGAGACAAATCCACTCACGCAGTGAGGAAAAGAGACGCCTCACGGCCCCTTGGCTCTACACACGGCAATCGGGGCTGACAATGAGCCCCTGTCCCTGCTCTTGGCCCGCCGCAGCCTGCGGCGCTCCTTGGAACAGGGACCGGCTGGGCAGGTTTTCCTGCCCCCGGCGCAACGCGACGTGCAGAGCTGGGAGGACGGAAGGAGCGGGGGTCTGGCAGGCAGGACCCCCCTCATCTCCCCCGCGTGACCGCCACGCAAGCCGGGGAGCCGGTGGCGAGCGCGGCGGTCGGGCGACACGCGGTGCACGCATGGACGCAGTGGGATATTCCGACTGGATGCTCGCAGATTTGCTCCTTTTGATACAGTCTAATCAGATACAGCAGGGTTGTAATGGAGCTGTTGATACAGGTGTCCTGGCCCGCTTCCAGCCTGCCTGTTTGTTCTCTCGCACTCCCCGTTCTTGCCCTGCGGTTTGACATCCCGCTCCGCACTGCAGCGAGGCGTTGCTGTGTTGTTTAACTCTCCTGAGGCGTTTTTGTGTGCGTGTCAAGACTGGACAGGCCTTGGTGCGGCGTGTGCACTTCTTGCGGGGCACCTTTAAACATATAAGATTTAAACAATTTAGAAATAACATTTTCATGAATCTCAAAGACCAAAGACTAGGTGATTCTGCTTTTTTTCTCTCCTTTTTTTCCCTTATTTTCCTCTTTTGGTTACAGTGAAAGGCCATACTGCCTGAGCAGGCCCCTTTCCCTGCTGCTACTCATGGCAGAGATCCCTGAGGAAGTCGAAACCTTATTTCTGCTGTAACTATGGTTGCAAAGAGGACTCTCGTTTGTACAAAAACACGCCTTTTCACACGTTTTCATCCAGAGACACTGAGAGCAAAGAAACCTGAGTGGAATTTCCCTTTTCGGAAGCAGGGCCTTCACAAGGTAAGTGCTAGAAGCGGGAGCCCATGGCAGCTCCTCACCCCGGCTCCCTTGGCGCTCTGTTATCAGTTGGCCAGCTGAATCCATCTGTATTAAAACCCTTGGCCGAGCTTACGTGACCAAGTGACCGTGCAGCTTCACCATGGTCACGGTGTGGGCTCCCGGCCCTTGTGTCTGAGCTCAGCTGAACAGTAATTCTAGATTTATGAGCAGATGGACCTGTCCTCTGAATCCCCCTTTTGTTCCAAGCGGAAGTGGCTCCGGGGAGGGAAGGAGCTCCCAGGTACCGAGGTATTTGGCACAGAACCGCAGCCCATTGACAGCCGCTGACCAATGGGAGCAATTGCTGCGTTGGCAGAAGGCTCCGGCCGAAAAATTCCAGGGCTCAGATAACACCTCGGAGAGACAACTCCCTCTGCAGCCACATAAAAGCGTGGGGTGGGGGAGAGCCGTGCACAGCGCTGCGCCTGCCACACGCTCCCTGAACTGTAGCTTGGGTCAAGGCTTGGGCACTTCTTACCATGGCCACTTACAGCTTCAGGCACACCACCTCTTCTGTGTCTGGGGGGCTTGGTGGCTCCCCAGCCCGCTTTGGGGGCTCCTTCAGGGCCCCGAGCATCCACGGCGGATCTGGTGGCCGGGGTGTCCAGGTGTCTTCTGCTCGCTTTGTCTCTTCGGGCCTCGGGAGCGCTGTTGGTGGCAGCTATGGCAGTGGGTTTAGCAGTGGCTTCAGTGGTGGCTTTGGTGGTGGCTACGGTGCTTGTGTGGGCACTGGTGATGGCCTCCTTGCAGGCAATGAAAAGACAACTATGCAAAACCTGAACGATCGCCTGGCATCTTACCTGGACAAAGTGCGAGCGCTGGAAGAGGCAAATTCGGACCTTGAAATCAAAATCCGAGACTGGTACCAGAAACAAGGACCAGGCCCTGCTCGGGACTACAGTTCTTATTACAAGACTATCGAAGACCTTCGAGAAAAGGTAGGTGTTAGCATTTATTAAAAAGCAGCTTAGTTTGCACAAACAGAAAATCTTTACTAGAAAAACAGCCGGGAGGGATGGCGGATTACGAAAACGATAAGAAGACAAAATGAATGCGTAGTGAGTCAGCAGGGATGGATAACAAGCAGGTTCTGTAGGAAATCAACTCATTTTGAAAATGTTAGCTAAGAGAATCAATAGAGCAAACAACTTGAGATCCCTCAGTGCTTAGGTCCCCGAAAACACTTGTTTTTAACAGCCAGCGATGAGGATTAGTGGATTTGAGACCACAGCAGACAGAGGTAAATCTGAACAGTGCTCCAGCAAGCGCAGCAAATTCTCTAACACCTTCACTTAATATGGCAGAGTTTTGTGTAGAACTTTGTTCTATTTTTCAGTAGCTTCTGCAAATAGGACTTATTGGTATTTCACTTATTTTCAGAATTAACTGATCTGTATATCTATCTATGTTTGTTTGTATGTATGTGTATGTATATAAAGCAAGCCTAAATCAGACCAAACCTAAATCAGACCAAACCAATTTCTTGCCTGCCTCGCAGCTTGCAAACCTTTGGACAGGCCCATCCACATTGTCTGAACAGGAAAAATAAGATTTGGTGCAGGTCAGTTTTGCAGCTGTGAAGAGAGTATTTCAGCATTTTCTTACCATCAATACACTTGCCTTGTAGGATTCACTTCCCTGAGCTGGCAGGGAAATAGGAGCGCTGCAATATTTAGCTTATGCATAAAGCAGCAGACACGCAGTAATCAATGGCACAGATAGCAGCAGGATCCATGTTGCCCCAATAGCCAAGACTGTGCGATAACAGGTTGCTTTAGGAGGACACACACCCTGGCAAACACACAGAGCCGCTGACTAAACTAGGCAAATAAATGAAGGAAAACGGGAGGTTCAGCTTGGAGTTCATGACCCCTCCCTTGCGGCTACTTTGCTCTTGCTTTAACCATTCACCTTCCCCTCGGCTCCAGCAACCTCATCCCAGGAGAAAACACCATGGGGAATTAGATTTTCTCATTGTAGTGTCCTTTTCCCACTTGTCTTTTATTCCCCTTACTGAGGGAAGGGAAGATGTTCTGGCTGCTTTTCTAGATGATCTTTTGATTTTTGAAACTTTGTGATGACAAGTTTTCCAGATAAAAACTTAAACAATCCTTTTCAAATATATATTTTTGCTCTTATGGCTGTTCATAGTGCATTAGGAGAGTCACTGAGCAGTGGTTAGTCTAGGAAATAAAAACATATTCAAGGAGTGCAGGATTGAAGTGGGAACGTGTACTGTTTATGTTATTGCATTATGTATGCAAACATACTGTACTCCAAGGATATAGATGTGACAGATCTCTGCTATATATCTGCCGTGCTCGCCTGCTGCTTTGCCCCTGAGCCCAAGGCAGCCCAGCTCTGCGTGGGGAAGCGGCTCCGGCTTCGGCGCTGAATCGCTCTCCTTGTCCGCAGATCATGGCTGCCACCATCGACAACTCCAAGGTGGTGCTGCAGATCGACAACGCCAGGCTGGCTGCTGATGACTTTAAAACCAAGTGAGTATTTTCTGGAAGGCAAAGGGTCTCTAGTGCTGGTGAGTGCCCCTGCTGAGTGACAGGGTAGTGGCTGTGCAAAAAGCCAAGAAGAGTTAATAAAAGATTGTGTATTTTCAATCTTGTCATTGTGATCCAACCCTTCATGGAATTGCTCAAAGGCTCATCTTCACTACATACAATTTTGTATCATGTAGAACATATGGCGACTGGTTTAACACTGAACATTTGCTGAATGCCAGGTTTCCAGTCCTACAAACCTGGATACATTTACACCATGCACTGATCTCCCCAGCTCTCCTCAGCAGCTCTGTTTTGCTCTGTTGTTTTGAAGGTTTGAAGCCCCTCTGACCTTGGTTGGGTGRGATCTCAGTGTCCTTCCTGACTGTCTTCTTGCTGCCAGGTTTGAGACGGAGCAGGCTCTGCGCCTGAGCGTGGAGGCCGACATCAACGGCCTGCGCAGGGTCCTGGACGAGCTGACCCTGGCCAGGGCTGACCTGGAGATGCAGATCGAGAACCTCAAGGAGGAGCTGGCCTACCTCAAGAAGAACCACGAGGAGGTACGTAAAACCCCAGGACACATCTGAAAATAGCACTAGAAAAGCAGCGTGTGTAAAGGGGGAGTCCTCAAGATTGCCTTGGGCTCTCCAGCAGTGTAGACTAAGTAACTGAACCCTCTGGAATTACTTAAGGATAGTTAGCCAGGCAATGCACCTTAAAGATAGAAAGGAGGGTGCAGGATGTTTTCAGCTGATGCTCATGCCTTTTTTTGTCTTCCCTTGCCCTGCTGCCGTAGGAAATGAGTGCCCTGGGAGGACAAGTGGCCGGCCAAGTCAGCGTTGAACTGGACTCTGCTCCTGGCGTTGACCTGTCCAAGATCCTGGCGGACATGAGAGAGCAGTACGAGTACCTGGCTGAAAAGAACAGGAAGGATGCTGAGGCCTGGTTCCACAGCAAGGTAGAGAACCCTCAAATCATACATTGTTATAACATGCTAACCACAAGATCCATGAAAGAAAGAAAATAGTTTTTAAAACGCACTGTGCTGTGAAAGCCTCAGGAGCTCTAGGAAGAAGCCTGGCATTTCTCACGTAAGGTTTGCCCCGTTTCAGACCGAGGAGCTGAACCACGAGGTGGCCGTCAACACGGAGCAGCTGCAGAGCAGCAAGACGGAGGTGACGGACCTGCGCCGCACGCTGCAGGGGCTGGAGATCGAGCTGCAGAGCCAGCTGAGCATGGTGCGTGCCCACCCCGCGTCCCGCGCCCCGCGCCCGCCAGCGGGGCCCCTTCCCCACAGCAGCGTCCCCGTCCTCCTTCCCGCTCTGTGTCCCCAGAAAGCGGCGCTGGAAAACACGCTGGCAGACACGGAAGGGCGCTACAGCGTTCAGCTGGCGCAGATCCAGGCGCTCATCGGCAGCATGGAGGCGCAGCTGAGCGAGCTGCGCGCCGACATGGAGCGCCAGAACAGCGAATACAAGATCCTCATGGACATCAAGACGCGCCTGGAGCAGGAGATCGCCACGTACCGCCAGCTGCTCGAGGGCCAGGAGAGCCAGTGAGTGGCTGCGCGGCCTCCTGCTCCTGTCAGCTTAACGTGTTTCACTAATTATTTTTCTTCACCATGCTAGAAAGGCCCCAGGCTTCATTTATGTCCCGTAGGCACCTCAAAGAGCAGAAAAAACTAGGGGTCCAATTGGCAAACAGCACAAGATTAAACACAGCCAACTGTCACAGTGGCAACTAATCATATGCCGGACATTTAGGGAGCTTAATGCAGTTAGTGACGATTTAATAAAAATAATGGTTAATACCAAATTCCCCCAAACTTCCCATTGTCAGGTAAGCAGTTTTCCTTCATAGAATTCACTGTAGAAATAAATGCTGTGAAGGGAGCTGAATGCAGAGCAGCTTAGCTTGTCTCTGACAGCCACTGCGGTGCCCGCAGCTCTGTCAGCTCCCCTACAGCCACAAGGAGGAAAATATTTCATAGCTCAGAACAAGAAATGAGGTAGGACTCATTTCCTCATTTACTCCCTGCTTCCAGAAATGTCTTTTCACTTCAGCCATTAATTTTTTTGCCAAAGGGGGTGGCAAGGAAATGAGCATCTCTCGTCTGACCATGTCTAACATGTAGCTGCTCGAGACTTTGCTTCCTGCAGCCCTCTCCCCGCTGCTACCCCTCCTCTCATCTGTTATCTCTTTGCTTTACAGGATGTTTGGCTCTCTTTCTGCTGCTGCTGGTAAGGATCTTTCATCTTTCTAAAAAGAAAAACGCATCCACTGTGGTAGTTGTGGCCATTTTAGAGGCCGGGCAGCTGCACTGCCTCTGAAAACAAATTAAGTAGTAGCCCATGATGACTCTGGGCAGAATTTAACAAATTATAGCCATTAAAAGATGCTAGACATCAGTAAAAAATGTCTGACTGCTCCGAGGAAGGTTAAGCACATCACCAAATGAATAATCATTCCCCCAGGTGAAAGGATCCAAGAAGTCTGAGCTTGGCCAGCTCAGACATCTCAGGGGTATTGTAGGAACATGCAAGTAAAATATTTCTTGAGCTTTAAAGTTTCATCCATAGAGTAAAAGTGAGATGGGATTTCAGTCAGTGCTAGGAAGAGGAGAACAACTGGGAGAAGGGAATGAGAGATGAGGGAGGACTTAAGCTCGGGGTCCCTGGCGCAGCGCGGCTCGTGGCCACCCCTCAGCGCCGGCTGCTCCTTCCTTCTCTTTTCTTGCAGACAAAGGAGACAAGGCGGCCGACGGCAAGAGGAACTAGAAGTCTTCAAAATTTCACCTTAAAAACGAGGAGGTTGGGGAGGGCAAAATGGGGGCAAAAGCCAAAAAGGAAGGAATCTCTACAAACTGGTGGAAGTATGTTCAAGCACAGAAAAGCCTGGGCTACCTGGCATTTAGGCAGATGGCTGCATTTAGTGCTGATCTCCTTTTGAATTAGGTTTGGTGATTAGTCATTTCTAGTTCTTTCCTGTACTGAATTGCTGTATCTACTCTAATAAAAGTGATCCGTTTCTTGCAAATGTAACGTCTTCCTGTTTATTTTGATATCCTTACTGCAATTTGGCTTTATTCGGAAACCCCGCTGAGATGCGGGGGCTTCAGCTCCATCCCCTCTGCTCAGCCCACTTGTGTGGCTGGCAGGGGCCCCGAGCATAGAGCTCCCAGCGTGGGGACAGCGGGACTTACATTGGGGACTGCGAGGGCTGCGGGCTCCGAAGAGCAGAACAGGGAGACGCGTCGTGGCCTTGGCAAGGAGGGAGCCCTGGGAGGGTAAAACACAGAGCTGTTAAGATGATCTGGTGATATCCCTATGGAAGCCAACTGGAGGGAGAAGCTGGTGTGATTTCTTCACTCACTTTCAATCCTGAGATGCTGATCTTCGGCTAAGAATAAAACCCTCAGGTCGTACAGTTAGGTAACAAATCTTCAGCCACTTTCATTCCCAAACCTGGACAGGGATCCAAATGGGAATGTTCCCCTCGCACACACATCACTGACCATTCCCACCAGCGCCCTAGAAGCAAAGCAAAGGAAAGACAAACCAGGGCTGCAGCTTCCGCACGGCATTCCCACTTGCAAGGAATGGAGGTGGCATTCGGGTAACGAGTGATCTGGGGCAAAGGACCAAATCCAAGGGGTTCACCCTGCGGGCAGGTCCCCGACACGCACCCTCGCAGCAGCCACCCTGCTGCAGACACCGTCCACTCCTCGGTCCCTGCTCCCTGAACTGTTTCACTCCTGTCCTTGCTAGTTTGAGCACAGTGGAATGTGTGCGGAGCAAGGACGGTGCCGGGCTCCGGAGCCGGGGCCGGGGCTGTGCCCGTGACTCAGGGGACCTGTCAATACCCGTTTTCAAGTCCTGACACCAACAGGCCCAGCTCAGCCCCTGCAAGTCTGGCAAGTCCCAGCGCTGAAAACTATGACAGCAAAGAACAGCCCCAAAAAGCCTGACTCAACACGGACCGATACAGAGGAAGGGTCTGAGCGGGGAAGAGCAGCTGGACTCAGGGGCTCTGCAACCAGGTCTGGATCCAAAAGCTGGATCTTTCTGAAGTGGAGGCTTCAGAAAGAGATCGGAAACAATCTTGAAAATGCTGTCTGGATATCCTAATTCAAAGTTCTTTTGTAATATTAGTGATGTTGTCCAAAATTTGTTGGGCAATGAAGCCTTTCTGGAGAAATATTTAACATAAAATCACGCATATAACCTACTTCTTGGTTCAGGGAAAAAAAAAAAAGAAAAGGCTTTTCTAAAGGTATGGGATGTGTGAGTGATGGTTTTATCAACAAAAGCCGGAGATGATAAACAAGCTGCTTCTTGAAAGAGGCTCTTTGTCTGGGTGGAAGGAGAGGCTGCCCTGTGTCAACCATGATAATCCAAGCGCAGAATCAGAGCGCTCGCTCAGCAGGGACATGTCAGGAAGTGTCCCGAGGAGCCTCTGCAGCAGCGTGACAGGGCAAGGAGCTTCTGTGCCACGAACGCAGGCTCTGGGACAGACACGAGATAAGAAATCAGAGTGAGAACAGCACAAAGGTATAAGCCTAAAAATGCATTTTTATTTTGGCAAGTCATAAACTTCACTTTCATTGTAGAGACTGTGAGAAGAAAACTCTCTAGATTCATTTCACGCTCCAGCTACAGAAAACAGCTCGATATACAATGCAGAGAACAATCCAATCTGATACAGAGGCAGTAAAAAAAAGAAATAAAGAAGTAAGGAAGAACTTGAAGAAGTTATTTAAAATGGTGAGAGGTTATGAACCTCAAAGCACTCCAAGCCTAAAAATTTAGGGAAATGTAAATAACTTTCAATGAGCATGGCTAACATGGAGAGCGAGCAACCAAAATTAAACTCAGCCTAGCGTGGCTGTAAGCAGAGGCACAGCTAGATGTAGACTGAGCTAAACACAGACGGCTTCTGTAAGTGTTAGCTGAGGGCAGAGGCTGAGCCCATGACCACGGAGCTGCCCTGCAGTCTTCAGCTGGCCCCAGGTCCTGAGCTTGATGCCCCGGAGAAAGCTGAGAAAGCCCCAGGCTCCCCACACTCCCCGTGGATTTCCGAGTTATGCCATAGCACAAGAATCTTTATTGGCTCTTTGATCTTTTCTTTTCCCAGCAGTAAATACTTTGCAGAAGAAAGAAACCAAGCAGCTTTGTATCTGCTCCCTGGGGTGCTGAGCTGATAGGGATCTCCATTGCCGCCGGAGGAGGCTAGTGAAGAAGCACTGAGGTGTACTCTCCCAGCGTGGTTTCCAAGCAGTTTTACAAGCTAGATGCAGTAAAAGCGAATGCAAAATGCCCCGTTCAAGTGGGGTGCTTTCTCTCAGAGTGGTTTTTCTGGATTTTTTGAAAGGAAGTGGCAGGAGAGCCTGGAGGCAGCAGAGCCCCCGCGCCAAGGGCAGCACAGCCACGTTGCAGGGGGCTTCCAGAAACCTCGGCGTTTTTTACCTTCAGCAGAGTTTGTCTAAACTTGTCTCCGGAGATCTGAACTGGAGATGCAGAGATTTGGCGAGATACTCAGGACTATTAATGTGCCCCATGGCGAAAGCGGCCTGCCATGGCGCGGGGCCAGGGGGAGCGCGTTCCCGCGGCTCGGGGAGCCCTGCTCCTCGCTCCGGAGCCCAGGGCACTCCCAGAAGGTCGCCGAGCTGCAGCTCGCACGACACTGGAGGATCTTGAAGGGCTTTTCCAGCCACAGCGACTCCACGACTTGGCTGCGCGGGATCCTTCCTCCCCACGCGCACTCCTGCCTCAGTTTACCTCTCAGCACCCACCCTGTATCCTGAGGTCTTTTTCTATGTGCAAAACTGTGGAAAATACTGGTTTTTGTTAGCAATCATTTGTTTTTTTTCTTTAAAGTTGCATGTTGAAATCAATCTGGGCTAAAACCCAGAAACCGCTCTGCCCCTCTGTGCTCTGTCCCAGCTCTCCCAGCCCTCAGTTTCTTATCCCGCTGAGCCCCAGGATTGTGTCACGTATCGCTCCTGTCACCAGGGCTGGTGACTTCCACCTGAGGAATGTCACCCGGCCCCGCAGGGAGGACGGGGCTCCCTGCAACGCCGCTCCATCGCCACCGCCCACGCGCAACCGCGGCCCCGGGCGCGCCCCGGCTGTCCAACGCCGCTCACAAAATCTCCAAAATCTGCTTTCCCACAATTTTGTAGCATTAAAATGGGTTAGTCAACAGAATTACGAATTCCTGACTTCTGAATTTCGCAAGAAAGCTGCTAGGCCTGAAGCAGACCGATATTCAGAACTCCCCGTTTGAATGAACATCACTTTCAGAAGTCAGTCCCACACCTTATTTTCCAGATTTACTCACCAATCACTAATGAGCAGTTTCACCTTAAACCCCACTTGTTGAGGCTTCCCCAGAACAATGGGAATTTAGTCTGGTATTTTTTCTCTTAACGGAGTTATTTCAATCATATATTCCCTGTACACTGAGGGATGTTCACTATCCCCCAAGCAACGAGGTGCTAAAAATTCCATTTCCAAAATCTAAAAGTCAATTCTGAGCAAAGAACGGGAGTAAAAAAAAAAAAAAACTGAAAAATGCAATTCCAAATGCTTAGTGGGAAGAATATGGGTCGAAATGATAGGGAATGATGAGGGGAAGCGATGACAGCACCTTTTGCAATGAAAGTGGAATTTTACTTAAAAGGCACTTGGCTTTTTGGCGGGGCGAGCGCGGCGAAGGGCTCTGTGGGCGCGGCCGGGCGCGCTCTGCTTTGCGCTCCGGGATGCGAGGGCTGCGAGTTTCAGAACCGTAGCCCCAAGAAAAACCAGCCGCCTGAATCATGCCCTTTGTTTAACGGGAAGCAGCCGCGGGCCTGGGATGCGCAGGAATGCCGAGCGGGGCGGCCTCGCCCCTAGGGAGGGGAATCCGGGCGGGCAGGGCTGGGGGGGCCCTGGCGACCGGGGATATAAAGGGAGCGCGGGCAGCGGCCGCACTCACTCGCGCTCCTGCTCCTGCTCCTGCTGCTCCTGCACGAGGCGAGTGTCCCCGCGCTGCCATGACCACAGTCTTCAGACAGAGCTCCTCTTCCACCTACGGCGGCGGCCTGGGCGGCAGCTCGCGCCTCTCCTCCGTGCGCACGGGCGGCTCCTTCCGCGCGCCCAGCATCCACGGCGGCTCCGGCGGCCGCGGTGTGTCCGTGTCCTCGGCGCGCTATGTCTCCTCGGCGGGAGGCGGCTACGGCGGCGGCCTGGCCGCCGGCCTTGGCGGCGGCTTCGGCAGCAGCTTCGGGGGCAGCTTCGGCGCGGGCGCCGGCGCGGGCTGGGGGGCCTCGTGTGGCTTCGGCGGCGGCCTCGACCTGGCCGGCGGCGACGGCCTCCTCTCCGGCAACGAGAAGATCACCATGCAGAACCTCAACGACCGCCTGGCCGCCTACCTGGACAAGGTGCGGGCGCTGGAGGAGGCCAATGCCGACCTGGAGGTGAAGATCCGCGACTGGTACCAGAAGCAGGCGCCCACCAGCCCCGAGCGCGACTACAGCCCCTACTACAAGGTCATTGAGGAGCTGCGGGACAAGGTACGTGGAGCCCCGCTGCACACCCGGCTCCCTACACCCATCCCAACGACTACACGTAAAAAATGATTCCCCAAACCCAAGCTTTCTGGCAGAAACAAGGTTGTTTTTCTTAATTTAAAAAGCACACGTGTCATCCTGGAAAGGTGAAGCTTGTAGAAATTAAAATGAGCATGGCTAAGTGGGTTTAGAATTAGCGATATATTTATAATGAAGCAGTAAAAGATCTCACAGTAGATCTCATAGTCTGGAAAAATAGTTCCCCAGGGCAAAGATATGATCAGGTATTGTGTAAATCTATTCTACAGTTATGTTAAATGTGTAAATCTTATCTTCTCACTAATCCACTGAGTACTTTTGAACTTGTAAAGAAAGAAGATAGAAAGGTTACATGGAGAAGCAGCAAGAATAAGGTATTTCACATCCCACGGCTGAACCTGCCTTGGGTCCACTAACAGTGTCCCAGATACCTGCTTTGCATCTGCACTGCGGAGAGGAGCTCAGCTCTCTTGCTGTTCCCCTATAAAAGCCATAAGAATCAAACCAAAGTGCTGTGGCAATGCACAGGGCTTGTTTGGCTAACGCAAGCTCTGCTGGCGTGTTCAAAGGCTGGCAGCCACCCCAGCGCGGGGCTCGGGCGCTGCGACGTGCCGCGTTCCTAACCGGGGTGGTGTCTGTCTCCGCCAGATCCTCGCAGCCACCATTGACAACTCCCGCGTCATTCTGGAGATCGACAACGCCAGGCTGGCTGCCGACGACTTCCGGCTGAAGTGAGTGCGCCAGCGGCGCCTTCCTCATCTCCCTCTTCCTCTCCGCTGAAATTTCATATTCCTCCCTAGAAAGCATGTTCTTTGGTCACTGGAGCCTCGTGCGGCTTCGGCGGCGGCTTCGCCGTGTTTCAAACGTGTTTCAAAACCGCAGGCAGGTATTCTGCTTCTACAGCTTGTAACTTAAGGCAGAGTGACTCTATAGCCAGGCGAGGGACAGGGAGAGGTGCCCAGCAGGTCCCACTGCGAAGGTGACCAGATCCTTGCCCCGCTCTCCTCCGTGCAGCCCCGTGCCTACACATTGTCTTTTCTCTTCTCATGCCCCAGGTGGAGCTGGATCAGCTCTTCACACCAAACTGAGAAGATGCCAAAACTGGAGTGTCCTGTGTGCTGTGCTGCTTCTGCATTCAGCATAAAATGTCACCAACTTCCGCAGGTTCCAATGTTTGATTCTTTGTAAAATTGCAGGTACGAGAACGAGCTGTTCCTTCGCCAGAGCGTGGAGTCTGACATCAACGGCCTGCGCAGGGTCCTGGATGAGCTGACCCTGGCCAGGGCTGACCTGGAGATGCAGATCGAGAACCTCAAGGAGGAGCTGGCCTACCTCAAGAAGAACCATGAGGAGGTGAGAGCTCTGGCAACACAGAGAGAAAAACCCTTCCATTTAGAACTTAACCCTCCCTGTTTGGGGGAAAACCAAACCACAATGATGGTTTTACAGCTAAATGATTAAGAAGAAAACCATGATCTCAAAAGAATCCAAACTGTGTCTTATAAAGCACTTCTCCAATTCCAAACTATTCAGTTTTACCGGCAGAAGCGTGTACCAGACCACTGAGATAAGCTGTAAAATCCCTGTGAAAGAAACATACCTGGATATACGTGTGTGTGTAGAGACAGAGATGAAAAGTATTTGTGATGAGGACAAGGACTGGCGAATTTCTCTAAGTGTGTTCCGCCTTCAGGACTTGATAGCTAGGGTAACTGCGTGGCTTCCTGACAGCACGACCTATATGGGAATATAGAATATAGAGCAATATAGAATATAGAGCATAACCTCTTTTTTCCTCTGTCTTCTGCCCGTGCAGGAAATGAAAGAATACAAGAATCAGCTAAGTGGAACAGTCAATGTGGAAATGGATGCTGCCCCCGGCATCGACCTGACCAGGGTGCTCTCGGAGATGAGGGAACAGTACGAAGCGCTGGCCGAGAAGAACCGCAAGGACGCCGAGGCCTGGTTCTTCACGCAGGTGCGTGGCGGCCGCGCTTGGCTCAGCACGCAGGGAGGCTCAGGGGCCCCGAGACCTCAACGGCCCGTCGTCTTTTCACTGTTCACCACCACCAGGAGGCTTGTTGGCACCTGCAGCACAAGCTCCACTGCAGAAGCCCTCAGCAACAGCATTGCTTCTTCCCAGGCAAACCAAGACAGTAAAGTCAGAAGGATAATACAAAAAAAGCTGAAGGCTAGCAAAGGAAGCAATATTTTGGGGAAGCTGGGATGGGCCTTCCCTTTTTCAGAACACGTGTTTTTTTGTTTTGAGACAATCTGTATTTGCTTTTCACAGTATGTTTTTCTCGCAGACTGACGAGCTGAACCGGGAGGTGGCCACGCACACGCAGCAGATCCAGACCAGCAAATCGGAGATCACAGAACTGAGACGCACGTACCAGGGCCTGGAGATAGAGCTGCAGTCGCAGCTCAGCATGGTACGCAGCCCCCCGCCACACCACCTACAACCAGCACGTTCTGCCCGTCCTACCTTCCTGTCTTCCCTTCCCTTTATCTCTGTCCCTGGGACAAACCTGCACGATAACCGAGTCTAACCCTGCTCTGCTATAGAAAGCTGGCCTGGAAGCCAACCTGCGAGACACAGAAGCGCGGTACTGCGCCCAGCTAGCCCAGATTCAGGCGCTCATCACCAACGTGGAGGAGCAGCTGGGTGAACTCCGGTGCGACATGGAGCGCCAGAACCAGGAGTACCGGATGCTCATGGACATCAAGAGCCGCCTGGAGCAGGAGATCGCCACGTACCGCCAGCTGCTCGAGGGCCAGGACTCGCAGTATGTTGCTACACACAAATGCAATGCAGATTAGATAACGTTAACGACGCGACATATCGTAAAGCAGTAATTTGTGGTTGTTAAACTGACTGCAGATTGTGTAATTGCACTGATTGCACACATAGGCTTGTGTGCACTGGCAAAACAGAGGCCCGGAGCCCTGTAAACCCCAAGAGCAGCTTTTACTCTTGTTAAACCTCCAGATCAGGAGGAAAACGGTCCATGCAGACCTATCAAGAACAAGGGCTGCTCTGAGAGATGCTCCTGTTTCCCACTGAGTACGGGGTGGGCGGCCGACTAGATGGGTGGCAGTCATTAATGGAACATCTTGTTTTCTGCAGGATGTCCGGATGGACCCCTAAGGACGGTAAGAAACTTTTGATGTAAAGGGGGGCCAAAATGAATTGACAAAATAGAATTAAATGAGCCTATGGTTTTCTTGGTTGGGATTTTGTCTCGCAGATGTAGATCAGTCTCTCCACTAGGACGACATTCTTTACCAATTAGACGTGAACATACGATATTTATATTATAAAATATTGACACCAGTAGCCTGCCAAAATGGTTACACGAACCTAGTATAGTTCTAAAAAATGGAAATCTGAAAAATCTCAATTGCAGAGATTCCTGGATTCACTGCTATATTGCTATATTGTCATATAACATAAGCATACCTCCAAATTTAACATGAGATTTTCATGAGGAAATTGCACACTCCTCCTTTGTATCTTTTATTCTCCTATTTCAAGGTGCCCTTTGATATTTGGAAAGAAACCAACCAAGGCCCCGCAGCTCCAGTGCAATTTTAATTCCTCTACTTGATTGTCCTTTTTTCCTCCCTCCACAGCACATCTGAGCAGCGGAAGAGTTCGCATTAGCGTGGAAGACTCGGTAGATGGAAAAGTTGTTTCTACTCGTGACAAGAAATACCCATAAGAAGAAATACTGAATGCCCTCTTGTACATGAGATCATCTGTACTGTGCCAGTTACAAGAACAGGGCACTCAAGAGGGGATTCAGCAGAGAACTTCGAATAAAGCGGCAAGGAAACCATTCTGGATACACACTGCCTAATGCTAACAGGAATAACCTTTTGCTTTCCCCAAAGCACAAGAATTTAATCCGATAATGTGCAGCATCTTGGGGTCTTCCCTTCAATTTGCTTTTCCTTTTACATAATTCTCGGGCTCTAGAGCGGAGCTGGGGAGCCTGTTTTCCACCAGCAGCTATATAGTACGCTTACGAAAGAACGTAATAAAGTTTCTCTCCTGCTTGTGCAAATACATTGGCCTCTGTGTTGTTTTTTCACGGTCAGCGAGGCGCTGCCGGCCTCGCACGCTCCTGTTGAACTGCAGAGGTGGCCGGGGCAGCCGCGCGGGCAGCAGCGATCCGCTCGCCGGGCAGCGGCTCACGCACTTCGCTCCACTCCTCCAGTTTCTATATTGCAGTTCTGGGATTAGCAGCACTGCTGTTTTCCGAGCAATAAGCTGGTCTGTGAACCACCACCACTGTAGCTGGAGAGAGAGGCTTATAAAGCTTTAAGAGGCCAGTAAATCCAACTCCAGAAGCATATAAAACATCCACATAAATGCTGTATTTTGTTAACACAACCTTTTCGGAAAATGGGTTGTTAATCCTCACCCTGCACTATTGCAATCCACAGAAGAGCATCTACAAAAATGGTACCTTTCCAGGAATTCCCTTTTCTTCCCAACCTCTTTGAATCACCTCTCACCTCTCTTATGTCCTCATTCTCACAATCCCCTCTGGCCTAGGAAGTTTCTAATGGTCCCCGTCACGTCTCTGCTCCCCCGTCCCCTCTTACTTTCCATACAGGCAGGGAAAGGCTCCCACGGACAGCCCCAAACCCACTGCACTTACACACAGCCGGGAGCAAACTCAGTTCGAAGGCATGATGATACGTCCCTCTGATGACACAAAACAAGTATTGGAGGGGCAAAAATACGTCTGGTCAGTCCTAACTTATTTCAACTTATTTTAGAAAACTTGTATAAACTTTCCCAATAAAAATGATTTTTGCAGCACAGAATACAAAATGTTCAACAGAGGAACAAGCCGTTTGGGCTTTAATAACCTGAGCTTTCCAACTAATCTGAGGTCTGTTAACCTTAGCCACTAACCATGACTTCCCCTTTATTCCAACTGCCTCTTCGGGGTCTGCAAAGGGATCCTGTGGTGTAGGTGGTGATTTCACTAGGGTTTCTTCAGTGTGCTCCACAAGTTCTTCCCAGATTCCAGGTCTCTCATGTGGCATGATGGAAGTTTGAGGCACCTCTGTTAAGCTGGGATCTTCTGGCCTAGATCCGTGCTTACCTGGTTCCCTCCTGCCTGCTGACCGCTATGGCCCGTGGTTTGTTGGCTGACACAATGGAGGGATTGTCAACTGCAAGGAGAAGGATCCATGCAGCTCCTGAACGAGATCCTGGCTTCCTACCTGCAGCCAACACATCCCCTTGCAGGGGAGAACGTGGGCCTGGGCCACGGGATGGGCGACCGCTGTGCCCGCCAGGTCCCCACGGCTGCACCGACCTCCAGGCCTTCCGCGAGAGCCTGGAACATCTCCAGCAACAGCTAAAGCCCTTTGCAACCCACTGACAGCTCAGAGCCACTGCAGCTGGAAATCGTTCATTGCCAACTGTGGCTTGTAAATATTTATTACACCATTTTTACTCTGAAAATCGAAACGTCACACTGCATAGACTGAGAGGCACTGGCTGCTACTCTGAAGGTCATTTTTCACTTGAGATTTCCTCTTACCATCCATCCGCCTAAGCCCTCGTGAGGTCTCATTATTTCAACTGAAGACGGACGATGGCAAAAGACTCTCTCCACAGGAAAAAAGGGGATCATAACATATTATTTGTGTTACAGAAATAAAAGCCCACATCAATGAGACTTCTAAATATATCTAATTGTAAGGAATTGTTTGCTTTAGATATCTTTTCTGCCTGAGCAGTTCCGGCCAGAATTTTGGCACAGGAAATATTTAATTCTATTTTTGTGCTGTTCTGTACTTGAAAGGTGTTTTTTTAAGTTGTTTTTCAGCTTTGTATCTGATTTCCAGATTTCATATGCCAAGAGGAGCAATGTGAAGCTCCTCCTGCAGACTGGCAAGGCCAGGCTGGTGGCTGATGACTTCAAAACCAAGCGAGTCCAGAACCGAACGAGTCCAGAACCAAGCGAGTGGAGCTGAGAGCTTGGCCAACTGCCTCTATCTAAATTCACTTCAAAAGCCTCTAATCTCTCATTTCCTGTAAGGGCTCTATCTGATCTATAGGTGACCACGTGCCGTTTGACAAAAGTGACTTAGGAACTCTTAGGAACAAATCAAAATTGTTTCAGATGTGCTGTGCGCAGGAGACGTAATGGTCTTTTCCAAAAGCAGAGCACTAAGCAGCACCCAGCTTCTCTGGAAGAGGATTCCCCAAATGTTCCTCATGAAAAAAAAACAAAGAGAAAATATTTAGAAATCAAAAGGCATTAAAACCAAACGGTGGTGTTAAAAGGAGGCTCAGCTGCAGTTGTTTGAGCGCTGCCAGCTCCGTCCCAGTGCTTCGCATTTATTTGAACCACATCTCAAGGTGCGAGAGCGATCAAGCCCTTGGCCACGCTCCGGAGGCCGCTGCAGGACCCGGCGCGAGCTGGCGGCGCCGACCTGCGGGCGGCTGGAAGCCCCGAGGGAAGGGCGGCTTTGCCTCAAAGAGAACCATGGAGACCCAAAACAGAAATAAATAAATGCGTAGCCTAAAGGCAGCGATACCAACTAATTAGGGACTAACCAGAATCAGAGAGTAGCACTGGAGGGCAGGCAGGACTGAACATATTAGAGAGAAGGCAATGAAAAAAACTGCTAATTCCTAGGAGAAATGTGTAAAAGACAGCCACGGAGTTAGTAAAAAAACATGCAGCAGGATTGCTTGCTTATTTTCTCATGATAATTACATCTGTAGTCACTTTTTAATACATAATTTAAAAAGAAATCTGTTTTAGGGCATATAACCTACTGTGATATTTGGAAGGTTGTTCACACGCTTCCTATCGCAGCCACGGGGAAACGCTCTGATCCTTGTGGGCCCAGCGGGCAATCCCACCCTGCAGGAATGAGCTGGGCCTGGTGTGCACGGGGCTCCGCTCCGAACCCCCTTCTACACTGGAATGATACAAGCAAACAAGACGCTCGGGCTACTATGGAGCAACTCGCATTTAAAGAGATGCTCAAACGCTTAAGAGGAGGCAATTTTATCTAAGCATGCGCCAGGAAAAGCTCTGCTGTTACTTAATAAACTTCTAAATAATCATTAATAATAATTAAATGTGAGTGTGAAATGGGAGGAGCATAAAGGAAATGTGGCAATCCTAAATTAGCACAAAACTGGCATTGATTTGCAATTAGAACAACTCCAGGCTCTCCATTCCCCCGAGAGGTCCGCAGGGATGCGCGTGGCATCACCCGCTGGCTTTTAAGCTCCTCTTCCTTCCCCCTGGAAACCCACCCTGGATTGTGCTCCGCAAGAAGCCACAGGCAACTCCTGCCCCGGCTCGGGCAGCTGCGGGGAGCCGCAGAGCCAGGATCCTTGTGGACATCCACGGGATCCTTGCAGACGCCGAGGCCCGCCTGGAGTGCGAGATCTCCACCTGCCGCCCGCTGCACGGACAGCACTGCAGGAGCACCCAGCGCAAAGCGTGGCGGGCAGAGCCTTTCAAAATTACACAAAATTACTCTTCTCAAGTTACACTCATTTCCTACTAAGCGTCTGCCTGTTTCCCTGCAGCGTTCCCGGTTTCCCACGTGCCACAGAGAACACGCCGGCGTCTCCGGTCACTGCGAAAATCCGCAGCATCACAGAAGAGCTGAAGGACAGGAGAGCCGTTGCTTCCCGGGAACACGTTCACCACGGCCCCTCCACTAAAACGAAGGCCAAGGTGTGACCATGAAACCCCCAGGAGCTCAAAGGGGCAACACCGACGTGATGCCCACCTGCTCCCGCGCATGATGCAGCCTCTTTGGGGGACCTCAACCTCCCTGCAAGGCTCCAGCACAGCAGCAAACTACAGTTCTGCTCTCCAAAGGTCTCTGATGCTGTGGACTTGTTCCTGTAAAATTTGGCAGCTTCTCAGATGAAGGAAGCTCCTGTGCCAATTTCCTAATAAACCTCCGCAGGCGTTGAAAATATTCACATTTATTCACTTGGGCGTTTGCTTCATAAATTAGCTGTTAAACACAGAGTTCACTTGGTTTCCCTGGGTGAAGACCAGAGCAGTTCCTCCTGGCAGAGCTCTTCCCAGACTCAGATCAGAAATCGATCCTGGAAATGTCATGATCGCTTCTCTGAGAGGTGCCAGGCCCCTGATCCCAGTTAGAGCCTGCAGACGCATATTGTAATGCCCCAAAATTCACCACCATTAGAACCCGAATTCCAACCCAGTGCTACCGTTGTCTCATTTCCCTCCCGTCTCAGGGATATCTCAGATGGAGACACAGCGTAAGGGAGTCATCCAGGGTGCAGAAGGGCCACAGAGCTAAAACCCACTCCCAGAATCCCAGAACGGTTGGGGTTGGAAAGGACCTCTAAAGACCATCCAGTCCAGCCCCCTGCTCCAGCAGGGACACAGGGGGCACCCAGGTGGGTTTGGAAGATCTCCAGAGCAGAGGAGGCTGCTAAGGTTTCACCTTAAAACCACGAATTCTCACAGCTGCATTCAGCACCAGCCAGATTGCAGACGCTGTTTGATGGAGTTACTGGCCTGAATTTCGAGGCACTGCTGCCACCTACCTCGGCTTATTGGAAATGCAGAACATTTCATCTGGAATTTTGAATTTTCTCCTCCCTTCCACCCCTGATGCCCCCAAAGGGCAGCCCAGCCAGCGGGATGAGGACACCCCGACTGGCTAAGCCGGGACTGAGCACTCAGGAAGGGGCTGCTAGG